TCCCTGTCACAGTTTCACAGCACTACACTCAATTCTTCAGTGTTTGTTTGACTGTCTTTCTGATATATCTTACCTGTCAGCCCAACCATCGAATAAGGCAGGCATATGGCTACCCTGAAACTGATTTTGATAACTTATCCAAACCAAGATCCTTGTGACAGTGGGTATGAAAGTGAAGGGGACAGTTGTTAACACTGTGCCCAAATGGAGGGAAAGAACTGGGGTGACCTCAGACAAAGATGAACAGGCCACTCTATTTGTAGCATAGCATGTGATGTTTGTCCTGATTGCCTCATGATAAAATCCAAATTGCTAAATATGGCCTATAACGCTTCTCTTTGTCTCAGGCTGGATTTTCCATTTGTGTGTTTGTAATCACACACGACATGTGCCAGGAACGAAGCAATGTTATCTCATTCTTTCATTTAAGTTTTCCCTTTTCTCAGAAGAGGCTGTACCTGGGGAACATCTGTGCTCCTTTGTTTCATGAGTAAAGACATACTTATGGTATTGTTACTTTTCTCAATGCTGGAGTCAGTATCTGACAAAGAAGCATCTTCAGATGGCTTATTTTGTCTTAACAGGGGTGTAGTTCATCAAGAAGACAGCATTGTGAGATAGTTGGTCACAGTACATCTGTAGCCAGGAAACCAAGTAAGATGAGTGCTGGTTTTTAGAATACTTTGTTCTTTTTCTTCAGTCAAGGCTCTGTGCCTATGGAATGATACAGCCAACATTCAGGGCGTGTCTTCCTTCCTGAGTTAAACCTTTCTGGAAATACCCACACAAGCAAAACAGAAGGATATTTCCATGGTTATTCAAAAATCCAGTAAATTTAACAATAATAATTAACCATTGTACTGGCCAACTTTGTGTAATATTAGTTGGTGTACTATTACTAGAAATGTTCTTTTCAGAAACTGTACAGTATCTCAGGAGACTTAAATGCCTACTCCTTTTGCTTTGCCACTGGAGTAAAGAGAGGAAGAGTGTACACAATGCCCAAAGTCGTGCATTTATACTCATAGTCAATACTTTCATTTTTTGTCATTATTTGCCTGAATGATATGAGCACGTAAGTAATGAATAGTGAATTTATTTCCTATTTTATCCTTTTTTATCTTTCACTTACATTAATGTGATCTAACAGCTGTGAAAAACTATCAGTATATAGAGTCAAATTTTTGTCCCCAATGTCTTTGGTGTAAGTCCATCCCTTGGAGCCTGGTTAACCTACCCAGAGTCACAGACTTAAAAAAGACTGACTCTCTCCTTCTCAGTAGCTGATGGTTTCCAGTAATGCCTCAGCTATAGTCTATGTTCCTTACTTACACCTGAGCTCTGTGCTAGAATTTTGTCTTATTTGAGCTTACATGGGACTTGTGCATGCTGTCACAATTGCTCTGAATTCATATAACTGACCATCTGTCTGGAAAACTGTTTCCTTCTGCTCATCCACCACCTCTGACTCTTATAATCTTTCCTCCCTGACTTCCACAATAATTCATGAACCTTGGAAAACAGAAGTTTGATATAGGTGACCTATTCAGGGATCAGCATTCTGTATTCACTCTCTGCACATTGGCCAGTTGTAACTTTCTGTGTTAATCACCATATGCCACATGAGAAAGCTGTCTGGTGACAGTTGAGAGATACATTAACCTCTGGGTATAACAATAATCAGTATAGTATTCTGTCTAGTGAGTAGAATAATAGCATTAGGCTTTCTTCTATGCTCTGTGACCTGCTTATTCACAGGTTCCTTGGCATGGTATCATTGTCAGAAATGGTCTCCATCCCTAAATTCAGTCAGAAAGTAGTTGCTTACACTCTTAAAATTCATGCCACTATTGCACCAGGATGCTTATTTTGCCAGGAAGTTTGCGTTGTAGCTCATAGGATTCACAGGTGGACAAGGTTGACAGATACTTTTCTCTTCGGGTCACTATGAATGCTAGACAGTAGAGATGGAGCTTTGAAGTCAGCACCAGCTTGATTTCTCCTTGTTTATTCTACAACTAATATATGTAGTGTACAGCAATAGGGTCTTACTGTTAAGTTCTGTTGGGTAACCAAGAGCAGGGGTAATAGAATTGTCTGAGGGTCTACGGGATCTCTTATCAATGGCTTCAAAACAGGGAGTTCATTGATGGCACTGGACTTTTACTTTGTTAGTCTATGGTGTCTCTAGTAGGGGCAATGTCTCCCTGTTACAAGGTGGATCCATTTAACATCTTTTTATATTGTATATCTATGTATTTAAGAAGCTTCTATAGTGGTAGGTTTCCACAAGGCTCTTTTTATATAAAGGCCTTTAGTGTTAGTTCTCCCTCCTCTGCTCTGCCCTCCAATTCCCCAAACCATTCAATTTTCCTACTCTAGTCCCCTTTCCCCTTTGATGTCACTGCATTCTATTCTCCTCTCCTCTGAAGCCTTGTACTCATTGCCATTTACAAGTTTGCTGACATCTCTAGATTATCCAATTGCAACACACACATCTAAGGATTCAAAATCAACATCTGCTCATGAGAAAGAAAATGTGACATTTTTCTTTCTGGGTCTGAGTATCTAGTTCCATCCATTTACTTGTGAATGTCATAATATTCTTTTTTCTTAACAGCTAAATAACGTCCCACTGTGTAAATGTTCCATGCTTTCATTATCCATCCATCAGTTGGTAGGCATCTAGGTTGTTTTCATTTCCTGGCTATTGTAAATAGAGCAGCAATGAACATGGATGACCCTATCTCTGTAATAGGATATAGGGTCCTTTGGGTTTATGACCAAGAGTGGAATGGCTCTACAGGAATGGGCTTTCTGAAGAAGACTCCCATAGAACAGGTATTAACTCCAACAACTGACAAAGCACCCTCATGAAACTAAATAGCTTCTATACTGCAAAAGACCCATATTCTAGTGAAGAGGCAATCTGCAGAATTGAAAAAAGATATTTACCAGCTATACATCTGACAGAGAGTTAGTATCTGAAATATACAAAGGACTTAAAAAACCAAACATTAAAAAAATAGAAACAAAAAACAAAAACAAAACCCACAAACAACCTAATTAGGAATTGTGGCAAGGAACTGAACAGGGGCTTCTCAAAAGATGGAACACAAATGGCCAAGAAATATTTTTTTTAAGCTGAGCATCTTTAGTCATCAGGAAAATGCAAATTAAAACTACTTTGAGATTTTATCAAGATCCAAAAAACAAACCATAGCAAGTGATGGTGAGGCTCTGGGGAAAAGGGAACTCTTATTCACTACTGGTGGGAGTGCAGCCTTTATATGCAGCCGTTATAAAATCAGTGGGGAGATTCCCAAAAGCTATAAATTGATCTCCCACATGATCCATCCGTACTACTTTTGAGTGGGTAGTCTTTCATGTGAGTTTTCTATTTGAACTTTTAGTATTTTTAAATTTCAATTTTATTTAATCTTATTGTTCATACTCATTGAACACAGTGCTGAATTTCATAGGGACATTTCTATTCATGAAGATGGTGCAGCTGCAGCAGACCGTCCATGCACACTCCCGTTTCTCCTCCTCCCACGTTCTTCCAGTGCACTTCCTTTCCCCAGACAGTCTTCCGCTCACATATTTATATGTGTGTAAATATATTTATATAATTTAAGATACACAAATGTGGGCATACATATTTGTTTTTCTGAGTAGGTCTTATTTTTTCTGTCCTGTAGTTCTAATTATTTTTCTGAAAAAGCATAATTTTATTCTTTAAGGCTAAATCTATGTTAGGTATAGCTAACACATTTATTTATCCATTCATTTATTGCTGGCATACAGGTTCATTCTATAACTTGGGCATTGTGAATAGTCTGCTATCAAAAAATGATGTACAAATGGCCAATAAACAGGGAAAAAGTTCAGTGTCCCTATCAATCAGGGAAATGCAAATCAGAATTACACCTCATCTCACCTCATTCAGAATGGTTATCACTGGGAAAACAACAACCAATAGTAAGGAAGTGGGGAGAAGGGAACCTTCATATCCTGTTGCTCAAACACAAATCATTTCGATGAAATTGTTGATGTTCACGGTCACCTTGACTGGATTTCAAATTCCCTCGCTCACACTTCTAGATGTGCTCATGAAGGCATTTAGGAGAGATTTAACTGAAAGGAAGGTTTGTCTTGAGTGTGAATGGCACCATCTCGTGTACCGGAGTCCCAGGGTGAACATAAAGGGGGGAAAGTAAAAGCAATCCAAGTCCTGGCATTCTCTTCTGCAAGGTTCTGGGCTTGCTCTGAAATAAGTCAGTTCCTGCTGCCACAGCTCTAAGTCCCTTCTGCCACGATGCCTTTCCCACCACGATAAACTATTCCCTGAAACTTTAGCCAAAATGTAAAAATCCTCCGTGAAGTTGCTTACTGTCAGGTATTTAGTCAGAGAGGCAGAAAATATAGCTGATATCTAGCTACTTGAGGTCAGCGCAAAATATTTATGTCGTAATTTTTCTTCATGTTAGTGTATCACCTGGAAACAAAGACTAGTTTTCTCCTTCCTTTGGGTTGTGATACTTTGTGTTGCCTTCTACCGACATCCCCCACACAGGACCATCATGGGAATAAACGGAAATAGCTGCTGTCCTTGCTTTACTTTATTTAGCCCGTTCTGAGGCTCTTCATGCCTGCTTGTAGGCATTCTGCCTGATAATGCATTTTTGTTTCTAGAGAAACTTTCCAGTATTTCTTGTAATGCAAATGAGCTGGTAACAAAATAATTTAGTTTTCTTTGTATAAGTCTGCTGTATTTTGCTTCTCTTAGAGGCTATTTTTACAATGTATGGCATGTTATGTTACAAACTCATTTCATGTCAGTAATTCAAAATTATTACTTATTTTCAAATTAAAAAAAAGACTATTTTTTAATATTAATACAGTTATACAATACAGAACTCAATATAAACCCTGTAAGACATAAAACTGAGTGAGTTTTTAACCTTTAGAAAAGATCTCTAAAAAAAAATGATTACCTCACTGTCTTTTGAAGTCCTTTGGAACCGACATCACATCTTCGCACTGTGATGCTTCAATAATGTGATATTTTTCTCCCACCCCTATTGGTTTCTTTTAACATGTGGGTTAATTTCTATTATACAAGAACTTTCTACAAAATTAGTGATTATTGCGGTTTGAATCAGAATGACTCCATGGGCCCTTCTTTTGGTATGTTTGATGTTTGTTACCTGGTGCCTTTGTTTTAGGAAACTGTGGAATGAGCCTTTTGTAAATGGGAGCTGCATGATTCCCTTACCATTCCCTGCTTTGGGTGATTAAATGTTGCCTAACGTTTTATTCTGTTTTCAACTTCTTGTCACTGCTCCCTGCAAAATGGCATCAGAAAAAATGAATTTCTTTATCTTTCTTGTGCTTTTTTTTCAGAATTCTAATAATGTATATTTTGCTGGTATTAATGGGTTAAAGAAAAAACACTAACTGCTGTCAATGTTTACTGTTGATGCAAACTTATTAGATAAGCTCTCATAAATTCAACTTCTCAAAGAAGTGCAATTGCATAACTAGTTTCTCCAGTGGCCTAATCAGCTTTATCTTAAAACTGAATGTCCAGTCTGTGTTGCTAAAATAGTCGTATTATGTGAAAGAGATTGCCTTGTACCTTTGTCTTAGTATTTAGCAGTATATATATGGGACTGTATTAAATGATCACCAAACAGAAGTTGGAAAAAGATTTATCATGGAGTACAAAATTCTGTTGCCTGGACTATGCTGTATTCTCTTTGCTTATTATGTTTATACACCCATCCCAGAAAACGTTGAAGAGTACTGGAAAGTGGCAATCTTGGATGCTGCTATGAAAACATCTTCACTTACGGTAGTATTTTCTCAGGGGAGAACTGGGAAACCTTGTTACAAGTCTAAGTGAAATTCCCTTATGTTAGAATTTTGAAGAATACTTTGCTTTTTCTTTAATAGTATGTCAACCAAATAATATAGTCAATCATTAAAATCTTAATTGATTGTCTACAAACAGAGGGACAGAAGCCGTTTGCTAAGATTCAATTTCTAAACTTTATGACCGTAGGTTGATATCAGAATAAAATAACACCATCTAAAAGGATATTTGAGGAATTTTTAAGACACTTGAATGTATTTAATTCTTCTGAGAAAACCTAGATTGTACATTCTCTTATACTCACAAGTGTATTTCAATTGCATAAAAAATTGAGGTATGTTTGATACTTTACAGTTTTAATATTTTTCCTTTTTAGATAGTTCTTAAAGTGTCTATTCTAAGAAACTATGTGCATTTTTGTGTTAAGACTCCTGAGAGGTTTATATTTGAGTTATATTTATCAATAGTATCTATTTTATTAATTAATGATGATGATAATGATATGATGACCTTATTACATTGCATACATAGGTAATATATTAATATTAAAGTAAAATAATTTTAATAACAGAAAGAAGTCACGATTGTGACATTTATTTCAGTTTTACTACATGACTTTAATCCATATCTTTATGGAAGCTAGCTGGTTCTCCTACTTGCTTTTGCATTAGTCTGTTGTGATAGCCCATCTGTGACATCTCTTTGGAAAGGGATTGTGCACTCATGTGCAGAGATTCTTTTAAAGCAGAAGGTATACTGTATGACATATGCTCCATGACATGTCTCTGAGACCTACAGGGGCTCTAAGCCACATTTTGAGATCTGCTGCTGCTGTTATCTGACTTTAGATGGATGTTCCTGGATTTCAGATCTTTTATGATAGTGCCAGAATTTGAGCTCAAGTCTACCACAGAGAGAATATATAATGTTCCATTTTACTAAAATATGCTTTTGCCGGGAATTCTTATGGATTATAATGACAACACAAAGGTTTAAGAAGAGAGGATCAGGCAAAGTACAATGAGAGAAGACACTAAAAAGCATGGGAGATGAGGAAGTCTTTGCAATTCTGCTCCAGAAGAAATGGCAGACTTTCCATCCTGGGAACCTGTCCTAACTTCATCTCCATTCCTATGGCAATACAACCTGACACAAATCAACCAAGGGGGAAAAGGATTTATTTTGGATAAGATTTTATCTTATCTTTAATCTAGAATAGAGTCTATTGTTAGAGTGATGTCATAGTGGCAGGAACATGTACCTAGTCACGTCACATTCATAATCAAAAGCGGAGAAAAGTAATGTGTGATGCTAGTACTCAGTGAGCTTTCTCCACCCTTACAAAGTACAGGGGCCAAGACCAAGGAATCAAGCTGTCCACCTCCAGTCATGGTCTTCCCACATCAATTAATGTAATTCAAATTACCTTCCACTCCAATACAAAAATGTGCCCATGATGCAACCTGACTTAGACAATCGTTGTTGAGATTCTCTTCTAAGGTGATTCTAGGTTGTGGCAAAGTGACAGTTTAACCAGCACAACAGCTAACATATTTTATTCTGAGACTCCAGTTTACTGAGTCATTCTGGACCTTGTTTCCCTCTCCTCCAATTTCTAATGACTGACTTTGTTCAGCAGGTAATAGAGAAAAAGGATGAACTAGTGCTATTCTCTAGAGAAGCTGCTACATTATCTGCCTCTAGTGGCTCATGTATTGTTAGGCTTCAAAGAGACTAAAGCTTATCTCCTACACAATATAATTGTATTCTGAAAACACAATTGTTGAATTTGACTTTTGTACTCCAAAATACAAAATATAATTATGAAGCATGCAAATGCTTTCATTTTACTTATACTATATATATTTATATATAAACAAAATATGAGTTATTTCAATATCATTTCAGTGATTGACAAAGTTCCACCTGGAGTTCCATTGATAAGCATTTTGTTATTGTCAGGAGTGAATTACAATAACCTAGAAATTTGTAAGAGAAGTCAATTTTGGAAATTTATGCCACAAAAGCAAAATTCATAGATTTGATACAACGATGTGGAAAAGTTTAGTACTCAGGATGAATGTGCTCAAAATGTGTACAGTATCGAAAGAAACAGCTTTCACCTCAAACAAATAAAATAGATGTGTTTATTCTGGAGCCAAATATTTGTGACCATGACCTGGGAACACAGATTTAGGTTTCCCCAAATACCATGATCCAATGAGGTAGCAACTTCATTAATCTTTTATAGTAACAGGACAAAGAAAGTAATAAATCAACATATTTTCAAATATGTGGTTGAGTATATTCAGTAGGTGGGTCATAAAAAAACAGAGAGAATTCTACTATAGGCCTCAGAAGCTGTCTGATGACATTCTTAGTCTTTTTGTTGGTAGGAGCTAGGGCTTTGTTAAGTTAATACATTCCTAAAGGTTTTTTTATTCATCTGTTAGTCACAAGATGTTAAATCAGAGGTGGGCAAGGAATGTCCATTTAAGGCTAAAAACGGCCCAAAATGAACTGTAGGTAGGCTCTGCATCTGCAGCATTCCAAACTCTCCACAGCAATTGAAGTACTAATCAGTTGATCAGCCTTGCAGTAAATTCAGTCCAAGATGCAGAATTTTTCTGGGAATTTTCATTCACAACAGTCTAAAATAGGCAAAACCACATAAGCTTTGAATCCTGTTATATCTTGAAAAGTTTACTTCTCTTGTGGCACATTTTCCTCACCTGAGAAACAAGCAAACTGATAAATCTAATGTGGCATTGTCACGAAAATGGGAAAGTACATATTATCAAACACCAGTAATGTCTTGAATGGCAGACAGTTGCAATTCAATATAGAGAGAGTTAGCAAGTATTCCATGACAGGAGGGAAGAAAGACGAGAATCCAAAAGTGCTAAAACCTACTGAATGATTGGAATGCTTGCCCATTTTAATTTTCAAAAAGTATTTAACCTGTTCAGTTTCACTCTGAAGCAGTCATTGTTATTACCCATTTTGTAAATGAGGAAAATGAAGTATACGGAGTGAGCACAACTGAGCTCAGTCTAGATTCAAAATGCAGCTTTTAAACATTGTTCAAGCTTTTTGTTAGTTTTAAAATTTCATAGAGCACAATTTGTTCTTTTCAATACATACTTCTGTAACTTTTAACAGAGTTCTGTAGTTTGTATCCAAATGTCTCATAAGTGCCCATGTGATAATGGCTTAGACCTGAGCCCATTTCATTCTCCTGAAGTGGTAGTACCGTAATAATGGATCATCTCTTGCCACTTGAAAATGTCACTGACTAGCTGAGAAATCACTGAAGCAAGGAAAAAGATTTATATGAAAAGTTAGCAAACCAAAGAAGATAGAGGATGTCACCCCAACGAGAGTCCTGCCTTGGGCTTCAAATGAAAATCCTATTTATGTAAGGAGTTGTGGGATGGCATATCAGATAGGAAGGCATCAGGCTAGTTACCGGTTTGTGGTACTATTCTGATAGACAGAGTCCCGCTTCCCAATGATCACAAATGTTCTGAGTTCTGCATATAATAAACTTTTTCTTCCCCTCCCCCTTTTCCCCAGGAAATTGTAAAGTCTGCAGGTAATTATCAGGATAAGAAAGGTATTGGTTGGTTGCCTAAGGAATGAATTCATATGGGGCTACTTATCCTCAGATAAGAGAGAGAAAGGCAAGTTTTGGTTCTTAAGAGGATGGTGAACATTAGTTGTCACTACACAAGATAGTAAATTGGAACTTCTACAGGTAGTTTTAATCTTTTAGCTATTTTCTCCCTGCAGTGTCTCTGTTGCAGTCACTGGCAAACCAACGACACATTGCTCAATTGTGTATCCACGAATCATCTACAGATATGTAGTAGGGTCTTAGTTACTTTTCCTGTTACTGGGGGAAAAATACTGTGACCAAAAAAAAAACTCTAAAGAAGAAAGGCTTATTTTAGCTTATAGTTTGAGAGTATAGTCCATCATGACAAGAATGTCAAGAAGTTGAGACCTTGAAGCTTTGGCTTAAATTGATTCTGAGGTTAGGCATGAAAGAGTGATCAATGCTGCTACTCAATTCTCTACCATAGTTATTTCATTCCAGTTCAAGACCCAGCCCGTGGTACACTGCTGCACATATTTAGGGTAGTGCTTCCTATGTAATAAACATAATCAAGAAAATTATTCTTGGGCGTGCCTAAAGGCTCCTTTCCTAGATAATCATATATTCTGTCAAGCTGATTAATCAGTCAGTATACATCATCACACATCTAACTGTTGTCAACCTGACACTAAAATATATCACATACATCATAACTTTCTGCGCTTGTGCCCATAGTTTCATGGCCATTTCATATTAAAAAGTGTTTCAGTCAAATTTTAAAGGTTCCCATAGATTTCACCAGTTCCAAACCCTATTTAAAAGTCTAAAATCTCTTCTGTGATTCAAAGCAGCCCCTTAATTGTATAAGCCCTTGTATAATAAGAATAAAATAAATTACATACTTCTAACATAAAATGGTACTGGGGCAGATATCAAATAATGCATCACCTGTGGCTTGTAAAGTAATGATTTGGGCTTCAAAGGGAACAAGCAGGTCTACCTTTCTAGTTTTGTTGTTTGCAACACACATTGCCTATTTCTTGAGCAAGGTCTACACTGTGAGTGAAGCTTTCCTCGGCAGATCTCAAAAGGTCCTGGCATCTCCAGTATCCTAAGGTCTCCATTGCAACTCAAGTCTTACCTTCATTGACGGCCTGGAAAATGTTAGATTGAGACTGACCAGGGCCGACGTGAAAATGAAAAGATGGGACAACCTTGGGAGCAGATTGTTCTTTACTGAGAACAATGAAGGTGGCAGCAGTCTCTCCACAGGATTTGAAACTGTACCCACTTGGGCACATTTGGTGGGCTGTTTATGAGGGTTGGGGAATTGGGAAAGGGGGAGGTGGGTAAGGTTAGTGCTGCTGATGTGGTTAGGACA